TCTGTTTTCTGTTATTCACGCACGAATATTTAAAGAAAATAAAATTTATTTGTTTCAAATATACAACCTAGTAAAATATTTAAAAAACACGAAAAACTTTTTTAAAAGAATATATTTTCTAGATGGTATTTAATAAGCGTTAATTTTTGTTCTCTCATATTCACCGACTTAATTATACAATAAGAAGATTTTAACATTGAAAATGGCCTAATATAGGTCGAAACGTCTGTTGGTTGTTGTAATCACTCGATGTAATATTATTGTGAGCATTAAACACCCAGTTCAGGCTCGTAGCCCTCATTTGATTTATTGAAACTACAGGTAATTTTTTTCTCATTTTCCTCAAACTTTATTTTTTATTAAAAAAATTGAATATATCTTTTTAATTTTTCTATATGAACATTTTGAGAGAGATCTGATAGCCCAATTGGCCTAATTTAATACAAAATTTTCTGATTGGCGGTACATTGGAAAATTTTTATATAGCCACTGCAGTTGATATCATCAGTAATATTACGATATAATTAAGCTAACGGCCGGACTTTTCTCCTATTCCATATATAATTATATATACATTTATATTTAATTGTATATAGACTTTTTTACTGGGTAATTTATAAACAAGATTTTATACGTTATTGAATCTGTGTTGGCAAACGTTCCATATACCTATTCTGGAATCTCTGTATCCTCACGGATGATTGGGCAAAATAAGCGATAACTATGGAAATACAGTTTTAAATAAACATAGCAGTATTATCATGTCATTTATATATATGCACGTGAGAATATTAATGCCGTCTGGCGTACATTTAGCAAGTAAATTTTTTCGAAAAAACGTTTCGTATTTTTTTTCTACTTTAACAACACAACTCAATTATTTTAATTTATGAGAGATTAAATTGATGAATCGGATATGTTGAAATCTTCTTGTGAATGCGGATATATATACTGGATGGTATATTTATATAAATTATTTATTATTTATATAAATATATATAAAAATATGTGTGTATTTTACACGTGTATGTAAAATACAGGAAAGAAACGCATCACTTATATGACACTTATATGTGTATAACATATCGTTACTGTTTCAATTATTTTTTTTCAGTAACGAATGAACAACAACATTGTTTTTTCTTGTTAATTTGTAACGGTAACTCAGCTTTTTGATCATTGCAGTAACAAATATAATTGTTATTTTCATATATTGTTACCTACTTGGCACACATGTGTAAAATGTACGTACAATATTAATAGGTATGAAACGTGCATAAGCGAATTATTTCTTTAAAAGATTAAGTGAGTGATGTATTTGTGCATAAGGAGTTATAAATCATCTTGACAGCCATAAAAAATCATAGGTATACATTTATAAATGAGTTTGGAAATTTTTTTGATAAAACAATGAAATTAAATTTTGAAAATAATAAAAAAATTATTTTAAAACTTTTATTATATAATTCTTTTTTAAAAGTAAAATCATGTATATTTTTTCTTTTTGAAAACAAAATGGCGACGTTGAAGTCATATATATATATATTACACAGAAGGTCCTTAACAAGGAGAAACAGGTTTATTATAATCTCATCTGTATTACTAATTAGACGATACGTCGATTTGATATTTACAATAATAGACATCGATGCGAGTATAATATACTTTATAGTCGAATCGACGATTCTATTATAGATTCTATAGATCGATTATTTCTCCTTGGGTACGTGCAATTGTAAAATCCGCGTTGCCATCTGTCGCAACTCGCGCAGTTTGACCTTAGAACAAAAAACTAAAAATATTTACTTTCTATAATATTTATAATTACTAAAAAAGTACATACTATATTTTAAAATATTAATTTTGTTAGAATGATGAACATTTGAAAAAAAAGATCTCGTGCGTGTGTTTATAGCAAACAATTAAATTTTTTATAAAAATGTAAAATAAAAAAAGTTTTCGCAAAAAATATATCGCAAAATTCGTATGTATGCAGTAGGTAATACTTAATTAATTCTTTAGATTATATTGCATGTATACATATATAATAAATAGAAGATTCGGTGCAAGTTTCAAGTAATTAATCGGATAAACATATATGTGTCTGTGATGCGTCATCAACGAGATAGTATCTCGTCGGTGGATGCGTGCAACGCCGATTTTGAAAATGTATTATACGTGTATGTACACGGTATTTCCGATCAAGATAAAAATTGATTTAAATTGTTATTGCTTTACGATATTTCATGTTGAAATAAAATTATCAAATATATACCAAATATACCTTAATTTACTCTGAAATGTTTGATTCCTTTTCTTTTTTTTCTATGTTTTCTGCATAATTAATTTTCGTGTGTTTTTAACGGGAAATGTCATCATTGAGCGCTCCGAATCGCTCGAATATACTGCAGGCGCTCATGTAGACGTATGTACGGGCTTGATCGATCACTAAACTGACTTCAATTAAACTTATTTAAAAAATATGAATTTTTCATTTAAACTATTAGGACTTAATTTTTAAGACTATAAATTATCATATACTTGAAATAAAAAAATCATTTTTTCCAATGTGGCCTAACCTCTTAATAATAATTATAACCATATAAACTTAATATTATAATTATAATTAAATTAAGTATTGCGAACTGATGATCAATAGCGACGTAGATATAATTATTGGATTGCATTCTAAAAAAAGCAGCTGGATTGGATAGGGCCGCGGATAGTTATAAAAAGATAAAAGTTTAAGTTAAAAAAAAAATTATTAGCTTCTTCAACTCTGAAAAAAGTCACCAAATTTTGATGAAAAAGTAACAGAAATTGTAACTCATTAGTTTTTTTAATAATTATGGTAGTACAATATAGTACCGCGCGAGTGTAATGGTTATAATATAACGCGAGTTACTTTTATTTATAAAGCAAAACTTTCCTAACTCTGGTAGATAATATATACATATACATATTTATGTGTGTGTGTTTAAGCAAAATGAAAGATGTGTTTATTAAATTTGAAAACTGTCACATCAGATTAAAATACGTGTATATATATATATATATATATATATGGTTGCGGCGCGTTTTTGTTATGTTAGAAAGAGACAGATTGCATTGGAAATTACTAGGAACGCCGCGTGCTGTGTGGTGCAGTTCTGGTAATTTCCTAGCCGCGCCCATAATTCGCGACATGAGAACGTCGCTTTGCGCGCACATCGAATGCTGCGAAGCGCGCGGCGAGTAGTACTCGCACTCGATACTTTTCTTAACGCGAGCATGTGAACGGATCTCGCGTCGACTCACGACTGTCCGATACATTCGTAGGCTTCTTCGTAGCGGCATCTCGTGCGCGCGCGAGAAAAAGAGACAGAGAATGAGAGAGGGGCGAGAATAAGAGTGAGAGGGAGGGAGGGAGGGAGAGAAAGAGAGCGAATTCGCGAGTAATCGCAGTGAGAGAGTACGGGCGAACGACGGTGAATATACATATATTCCATATCGTACCGATCGTGTTGTTCGTTTCGCGGAAATATCCGAAGAAGTTAGGGGGACACCCGGAGCGCGCGCGGCCGTTCACGCGCCTGCCTGCCTGCCTGCCTGCTCGCCCGCGAGAGAGGCTCCTGCTCCTCCTCGTCGTCGTCGTCGTCGTCGTCGTCGTTGTCGTCGTCGTGCCGTACCCGCGCCACGCACGGATAGCACGCGCGGCCCTGCGATCGCGCTCGTCGACTCGACTTTCGTCGCCAGCCAGCTCCGATTGGACATCGGATCGTTGTCTCACGACTCTCAGGCGGTGGTATCCAATATCCCCTTCGCTCTGCCACGGCGAATGTGGAAGCTTAACGGCGTGTGCTACGGCTGTCGTGCCACCGCCGTCGCTCATCGCTGCCGCCACTGTGCATCTCGTGCATCCACGGTACCCATCGCTCACCATCGGATCGGACCATTGCGCGCGGCTGTGATTGCTGTGAAACGGTTCTCGTTCACGAGGATCTGATTGTCAACCCGAGTGTGCGAGGTGCCCCCGAGAAGAACGAGAACGAGAGCGACAAAGAAGGAAAGTGAGCGAGCCGGAGGAAGAGAGGGAGAGAGAGACGGACAGAGATAGAGGGAGAGAAAGCGAGAGGAAGGGAGAGAGAGAGAGAGAGAGAGAGAGAGAGTCTGCCCGCTGGTTGTCCGCTCCGTTGCTCCACACTTTCCTCCCACCCAAGTGGTATCAATGTTGTCTGGCAATGGTGTGTAAGGAGAACGTGGTATCATGGTTTGGGAATCTGTCCAGGTAATATGGAAGCGTCGACACCGCGCAATCCCGTTCACGCGCGCATATTTCGAGATATTTCAGGAGTAATTTTGCGTAACCGTCGACTATCGAGCGCGCGTCGTGTCGGAGCTCGATCAGTTCGATGATGCTCGCGGAGTGTGCACGGTGCACGGTAGGTCCCCCGAGGTCTCGATCACTCTCGGCGTGTATCTCTCACTTACCCTTGCTCGCCTGGACGCGATCCACCGCGCCGTCTCGCCTCGCCTCGATCCTCCCGGTTTTTCGCAAATAATCGCATATCAAAATTATCTTTCGTTTTTGCACCCGCTTCTTGCGAGACTCTTGCGCATTCGTCGTTCGTCGTCGCGACGAACGACGAAATCTTCGTTGCCAATGTCCGCGATATCATTGGGAATTTAAATACGTTGTATTTTATTGTATACGTTACGTTACTTCCTGCCGTTGTGCTCATCCACTCTCTGGTGCTTCTTGATCCGACCGCCGACGTTGAATTGGACGCAAGCTCTCCCGTGTCCTTTGTCGTCTCGTAGTTCTATGTTCCTTGTACGAAGCGACTTTCGGTTCGGTTGAAAAATTACTTATTATTTTTTATTGCTGCTTTACCTTGCTATATTACCTTTATATCATTTGCCTATTTTGTAATCTTCTTTATATACTTTGTCAACATAATTCTTAATATAAAATACTAGCATATCAAATTACACTAGTCAATATCAAATAAAAAGCGAAATCATTACGTATATAATAGACTGCAGTCTCTAATGGTTCTCAACACAAGTTATTCTTAATATTGAAGATACTAAATAACTAAATGTGTATACGTATTTTAATTATATTTAATTGTTTATATCTATCAAAATTATCTGCAATTGCATACTTTGGAAATTTCAAAATTACTTATTATCTTACAATATATACTTATACGAAAACAATTAATCTGCGTTTAATTTGATATATAAATATTAATTGTAAATACTGTCAGGAATAAATGCCTATACGTTAATGCGATACAGTTGTATCGTAGTAATAAAAATATACATCATAATAAATACAAAATTCCTATTGAAATGATAATCGCAGCTGTTCATTAAAATGATAGAAAATTAAGATATTATGTATATACTATCTTTTTTATTCTTCTCAAGTTTTATCTTTTAATTTCTAAAAAATTTAAATTACTAAATTAACTATTAATGCTTCATTACTAACTGCTAGCTAAAGTTAAAACGTATCACTTGTCATTTATGCATACTGATTGCATTATATATTATACTTATAATATGAAAAAATAATTGATAACATAATATAAAATGAAATTCATCAATTGTCTATTCTTCAAAATTTATGATAACAATGATTTTATTTGAAAGAAAAACTGTAGTGGGACAGAACAGAAAGTCTGTATGAGTAATTTAGGATTTTAATACTGCAGTGATTTCAAATTAGCATAAAAATTATGCTATAATGATGCTTTAATGATTTTTTCAGTTGATTGTTTGACATTAATTTTTGACACTATTTTTTGTCTGTTCAGTTATAAACGTATCGATGTAATGTGCACATTGCTGAACATGTGCTTGCCGTTTGAAGTACGATACCTCGGCACATGCGTCGAGGATATCGGCAAGCGAGACTACAATGACCTACGTGACACGGAACACCATGCAAACAGCGCCTCGGAGCTGGCCGAGTTGACGACTTCCAGCGTGACAGATAAACGCACGCGGAGAAAACTGGCTCTCTACATGGCACTGTTGCACTCGTGCAATTACGCCTGTGCGGTGATCCTGTACAAGAATCTGTCGAATCTCGACCATCAGGACATCACCAATCTGTTAAATGGGACCAATCTCTTTAACGTGGACGACCAACCTCTGGAAGAGTTGCTGCTGTTGTATACGATGGCACTGAATCATCCGGCCTTTACATACGAACAGAAGAGCGTATTCGGCAACATATTCATCAAGCTGCAGGAAGAAGAAGCTCGTCTGAATCTTTCAAAGATAAACTCTTCTTTCAAACCGACACAAGTAATACATTATATTTCTTTTTTATTTTTTTTTACTCTTTCTGGTCACGTAGGATCCATTGAACCCTAAAAAAGTTTGAGGTTCTATATCTCCAAATTCTTATCTTTAAATGGGACTTGATCTGTCCCATCTACCTGTGAAGTAAAGTTCAATTCTTTTTGCGCCTAGACTAGTCAGGTATTACTCTCAGCGCGCGTTAATGTGCGTGTAGCAGCGTTTGCCGCGTAACAGTATTTTTGCATTGCAGTGTTATTCTGACATTAGTGTAACCAAGTTGCAACTTTTTCTTCTAAAAGTGTCATATCTGTAGAGTTTAGCTATAAATTTTTACCAAAAAGAATTAATTAAAAAAGTTATCATTTTTTTTTAGTAAAACTTATTTTTCAAAAATTTTTTCGCGATTTTTTTAATATGTTAAAATTAAAATCTTTACAAAGCTACTGTTCTATTTCTATGTTTTACAATATTTTAAGTATGTTTGGTAATTTTTTTAACTTTAAAGAACCAAAAATTGTTAATACGGAAATCGGTTAAATATATGTTGAGGTAATTTTGCTCTCAATGTGACCACGAAGGGTTAAAGATAAAAGTAGTAAAGAGTCAACATTTTTATGAAAATTGATATTTATTTTTTTATTTATTGAATTTTCTTGTTTCTACTAAATTATTACTTGTTATTTTCAAAATCCTTAGAAAATAATTATTGCAATTTTAATATATATATATATATATAAATATATATATATTCACTTGAATTATTGATTGAAATAGAAAAAAAGCTTTTTCGTCAGATATAAAAATAAGTATGCGCAATGCATGTTACTTTAGATTAATTTATAATAAATTTAATAATTTTAGTAACACATTTTTATAACATTTTGTAACTGTAATCAACTGTATATTAATTTGTATAGTAATATGGTAATACGATTAATTTCAATAGCTGGAAATTGTTTGATTGTATAATGTACATACAGTTTAAATTTATGCAGAGCTGTACACCGTGCATGAGTACGAACGAAAAATTAATGGAGCCTGAGATACCGAGTAGCTGCTTAATGCCGCCACCGCCAATGCAATCTTATCATGGTACGTTGCGTTGCATACTTTCGAAATATTTATGGATACGGAAAAACGAAATGTTTTGACAAATTACAGTTATGACATAATATAACTTAAAACGTATCGCGCATAGTGAAACCGTGTTCAAGGATATCAATATTTTGTTTTTCTAGAAAAACAGAAGTATAATTGGTTATTTTTTGTTTATAATTGTTTTTAATTGTGTTTATTTTTATTTTTATCTCTTGTTTAACTTACAAATCAAATTTGTTTAGTCGAATACAATGCGCTCAGTAAAATTCAAAAAGCATTATAACTATGGCATCAATAATATGATAGTTTGTTTACACGTTACAAATAGTGCAAAACTATTCATGTTTTATCTAAAAATTTTTTTATATTTTATTTTTAATAAATCACTATGTTTTCCATTGGAAAATCTATTTGCAGATGTATGTTGCAATGATTGAATAGTTGTAACTTTTTCCCAATCAGAAGTCATTTTAATGACTTTTATATTCATTATATATTCCTTACTACGAAATATTATTTTTATATGTGATTCTCATTATATTACAATTTTATGTTTTATTTGTGAAATTTGTGAACTTTTTCCGATTTTTAATATAATAATATTAATGTAGTGTTTGTTATGATCGATTTACATATATTTATGTGCATTATCTAAATGAGAAATTGTTACAATATATCAATGTTATTATGTTTAGGAGAAATGGGAATGAGGAATAATGCTATGGTCACCGGAGTACCACCTGGTCTCACGATACCTCCACCAGGACTATGCTTGCCTGGTCCAGAGCAAATGCCTATGGGATCTGGCGGTACTACGCAATACGTTCACCTCGGTTTCCCATCCATGAACCATATGCCCCCTTGGACAAGTCAGGTTATGATGGGAAACCAGTTGATGTATCACACCAGCGACGTGTTAGCTTATCCCGCTTCCCCCTTAGTCAGTCGGCAATCTTCGCCATCCCAGTCACGATCTCCTAGTCGCAGTAATTCGCCGATGGGCCGTGGCAGGACTAATGCTAACTCGCGCGCCTCGTCCTCGCAATCTATCCAATCCACTTCGACCAGTCTCACATCGTCGAGCGTTTCAAATAGTCAAACAAGCAGCTCCATCGTTTCGAACACTAGTAATAACAGCAGCAATAACAACTCTTTACCGCCTCTACCAACGCCCGGTGCAAGCAGAAGTCTTCCTAGTCAATCGCCGTCATTACTCCCATCATCGCGGTCTGTTCCTCTGTCTAACACGAATTCATCGGGCTTCTCCCGACATAACATCGACATGACATCGTCGACTCCATCGTCCTCCACTCTGATCTCGGCAACCCAATCGAAGCAACCACCACCACCGCCACGACTTAGGTCATCCAATTCTGGCGATTCCCTTCGAGAGACTTTGGGTAAGGAGATGCCGAATTTTAAGGGTAATCTGCAGAACTTCTCTCGCGATGAGGTAAGTAAAATCACACACGCATTCGTCTGAACAGCAATCGTCTGAGAATGCTTGTGCAGACTGTACACGTACACGTTCGAAACTGAATTATTTATGTGCGCGCGGACTATAGATCAGAAGAATGAGTGACGAAGATTTAAGGGACATCGGTTTGACACCGAATGCGGTGGGGCAGTTGAGGAGTATAGTCAAAAGTCAAACCAGCAATGGCTTAAATCAGTCGACTTCGACGGATAAGAAGCTGGACAGCGTAAGCAGTACCTCACATTCGCTCAGCGAATCGATTGAAAATGAGGTAACGTTTATATAGAATTTATATAACACATTGCACATAACATTACCTATATAATAAACACTTGAAGAATTCGTTGTCTAATTCAAATCAATTTTTTCTTAGCTTAAAAATCTCGCCATAACTTTCAAAATTATAAGCGGCGACTGATAATTTATACAGCATTATATAAATTATGCGTTTGCGCGCGTTTTCTCTTTTACTGTAAATGTTGATTTAATGAATAACGTATTTACGAATATAAATATATATTAAAATAATGAATATTTAAGCTTTACAAACACACAATAGGAATAAGAAAATGTTATGTTATATTTTGATTCGTATTGTACAAAAACATGATGTTTAAGAATATCACAATATCTTTATTGTGAGAAAAACAAGCTCTATATTTTTTTATTTAAAAAAATATTAGAATAAAGTTACAGAGACTTCCACAAAATCTAATCTGTACTTGTAAATTGATATTTCTTAAGACAGATTATTTGTTTTGTCTTACAGGCATCAGGTATAGAGGGGTTGGGTGATTCAAGCAGTAGTACAAGCGGGAAGTCGATGCCATTACAGGAACAACATCCAACGATGCACCATTACCACAATCACATGACTACCCCAAACGTTCGACGTTATCCTGGCATGCCGTCGATAGATCCCACGCAAATACAAATGTATCCTGCGCCACCACAAATGTATACAGCTCAGAATTCACCATGCTATGCTTGTCTTACTGTACCAGTAGCTGGAATGCAAAATCGATATTCAAGGTATGTATAAATGTATGAGTTTGTTTTTTTTCCAATGTTTTAGACAATATTCAATATTTTAATTAATTCTTTTTTTTATGTTAAAAATATTAAAAGTCAAAACGTTAAGTAACCTACGTTTATCCTAAAACAAAAAAAATTAATACTTTTTGTGATTGTGACAAGCGTTTTTGAAAGTTAAGCCAAAAACATTTTTGACTATTGAATTTTAACCAGCCATTTAATATGTGGGCTCGATTGGAAAATAATATTTGACATTTAATATTTAATAAAAAAAAAAAATAAAAAAAAAAACGCGAGCAACTATCATGTGTATAATGATATTTTCAGATGTAACGCTCAGCACGTCTATTGCCTTGGACAACTACAAGCGTTGCGACTCGACTCCGAGAGCAGCCGGCATTGTTCGCAAAGTAGTAGCTCCGATAGCACAGGAAGTAGATCGCCCCCCGAGACGCCACCGGCTGCACCGTGGGTCAGTAGCAGCGGTGGCGGTGATAACAACGTTGCACCGTCTGTTACTGATCACATGAGTTCCGCGCCGCCGGTGCACTCGACGGCGACAGCGACGGCGCCGCCGCATGTCGTGTCATCAGCACCTCAGCAGTCGTCAATGCAATCATCAGTGCCACCGGAGAGCAGGCAACTCATCAGGAAGAACAGCTCGCAGACGCGCACGATGCGACAAAAGAGTCAGGGAATACTGAACGGGGCCGGTAACGGGAACGGTGGACCGCCAAGTCTATCGCACTGTGTCTCCTTTCCGGCGCCGCCGACACACTCGCCGCAGCTCACGTATCTGCCGCACGGCCACTTCCCAGCTGCGCTGCGGCCTAGCAGCGGTATCTACTCCAACTTCTTACACGGACCGTCCGCACGGTCAGCCTACCAGCCAGCGTATCAACCGAACGGCGAGATTATGTATCCATACACAGGTCATCCCGCGTCCGGTAGCACTCCGCCGCCGCCACCGCCGCCGAACGCGGCTGCCGCGGCGCCAGTACAAGCATCATACATGCCACCTACGCCGGTGGTAACGTACGCGGCGGCGGTGATACCACAGACAAAGATCTCCTGCTATAATTGCGGCAGTAACAGTCACCTCGCGATAGACTGCAAGGATCAGACGATGGAAGACATTACGAAGAAAGGTACGTCCTCTTAATACAATTCAAGCGTTGCGTTACCACAAGGTGAAGAAAGGACGCGCGCTTCCGTTGATTTAGTAAATTTACTTTGATTTAAGTTGACGCATAAAATAAAACTATAGTTTTTAAACGAATTTTATCTAATTTTTTGATAGAAATGAAATCTCATTTAAGTGAAGATATTTAATATTGGGGAAAGAATTGAGAAGAGAGATGACGCGTTACGTTGATAAAATTATTCATACAAATTCGCATTTTAAAGAAAGAAAAAAAAAAAAGAAAAAAACGATTGATTTGGAATAATATCTTATGTAAATTAGACAAATTTAATATGTTCATAATTGTTGTTTCACGATTTTTAGTATGTTTATATTTTTCTGTAGAATTTTATTGTTTTATAATTACATATACAAACATGTGACCAGCACTTGAATGAATACTGAGTGGTTTCACCTGTAATCACACATTCGATTCACGTATTGTCGTCACAAAGAACACGAAATCCTTTTAATTTCAGCCCAATACCGATTGGATTACACGATAATGAAGCAGCCTGGGGAGTGCCCGAGTTCCGACAAGTGATCCCCTGCCATGGACCACTCTGCTATCACTTGTCACAATTCTCACCGCCACTATAACCGCAACTATTGCCATCATCGTCATCACCAATATCACCATCGCTATCATCACCGTTACCATCACCATCACCAGCACATCTATCGTAGTAATCACCAGTATGCTAATGCGAACCGATTTAAGGACAAGACTTTGCGAGATGACAACCGTTACCGTTCCTCCTTTCACTTTTCGGTATTCTTTCTAAATGCCCTATTCTACAACCAGGACGATGATGTCAACGATACTAATGCGAATAATGATGCTGACAATGACGGTGACGATAACGATAACACCGACGCCAAGTACGAAAATGACAGCGACGAAATTTTTCTAACTGAGAACATTTCGCGGCTTATGGTACGGGGTACATCTTTTGCAAGTTCTTATGTATGATAGTGATTGAAAAGTGATCTAACTAAATGTAAAAAATATTATGTAGTAGTATTGTGTACAAAAAAAGAGCAAAAGCGAAGCAAGATATAATTGAAAGACCGCGTCGAGATACGGAACACAATTTCTTGTATAACTGTGTTTCTTTTACTGTAGGACACGTTTCGAGAGATTTTTGGGTTTAAATAGTGACTCATGTCGCCTTCCAGCGATACTTATTGACTACACTTATCGCTGTGACTCCCATCTTGGCAGTGCTCCTATTTTTCCTTCTCTATAACCTTGATTCTCTTAACGAGTAGCTATAAGAGAAACGCAAATGAAAAGGATAAAGAATGAATCGTGCCCCAAATAAGAAAGGAAGCGAAAATTATACGAGATTCGAATATATTTAGCAATCGATACTTTAATTTCTAATCTACCATGTCTACGCTATTACTATTACTATTAAACTATAATTATTACTTCTACTATCGCCGTTGCGCCACGACGTGTTTTTATGTATATATATTTTTCTCAATTCTTACGTGCGCAATGAACCGATAATGACATGTGAAAAAGAAAAAAAAGCGTGTAATATATACGAAATGGTATACAGTATGTGTGTTGTGCGGTGCGCGTGCATGTGTTTATGTATGTGTGTACGCGCAAAGAAGATAGAATGCAAGAGGCAGAAAAAAAACAAGAAAATGAGAAAGGGAAAAGAAAAAGGGAAGAAAGCGGGGGAGAGGAAGGGAAAGATGGAGAAGGAACAACAACTACCAAAAGTGTTCGATCATTTAGCTGCCGTTGCGCTCCTCTGTGTGTTTGTTTCATTTACATACGCGTGCGTGCCTACGTGTGAATGTGCGTGCGCGCATGCATGTGTGTGTGTGCGTGTGTGTGTGTGTGTGTGTGTTTATGGTAAAATCATGAAATATATATTATATATATTCTATATGTAATATATATTTCGTAATTACACATGTATTTGCTGCTCACAACTTGTTTCTTATCTTATACTTGTAGTTAGACGGCGATTCTCATATTATTTATACACGAGTAGTCATGCGATTGCACGTGCATTTGAAACAATTTTATACGACTTTTATCGATTGCCCATGTATTGAGCGTAATCAATGTTAAGCTTTTTTTACGCGTTTGGTTGCAGCAATTAGTGTGTTAAGCGTGGTTAACTAAATCCTCCGAAAATCTGTATTTGTCTATATCTCTCCTATATTGGCTATTATTTAACATAGAAGAATCGCGCCGTTAAAATTGCAAATTCTTAAAAATTGTAAATTTTTAAGAAGTATATTTTCATTGACACATATTTCAGGATATTTTCAAATTGACTCAGAAAAATATATAAGTATAATGTATTTTACATTCTAGTTTTGTCAATTTTTCTACCCTTTTGTTTAAATCGCTCACATAACATCATCACTTTTTAATCTAAACTATCTATTGTAGTACACGTCTGCATATCTTACGACGCAAATTTGTAAATACCTACATTTTTTTTTATTTATACTGTTGCATGCAAACATGGACCTTGTTTAGTATATATCGAAAAACGAAATGGATTAGTTAACCAAAGCTGCAACACTGTTGATGCAATGGACTCTTAGGGAGCAACAACGCAGGGTAAAGCTGAAATGAATAAGTATGAATCGAGTGGCAGCCCGCTAGCAAAATTGCTAGTGCATTTAAAACGATCATTCGGATTTTCATCAGCGAAGCGAATGCGAAACAGCTCGAACCCTTTGTACATGGACGAACTTTACGGTTAAATCTTAAAAAGACGAAAACTCTCCTCACAGAAATCATATATTTTCTTGTACGAACGGTCGCAATACGCAAAAGTGATTTTTTGATTAAAAAATAAAACGTAAAAACGAAAGACGATAGATAGCAATGAACAAGTTAGTTGAGAAATATATTAATTAGATAAAGAGAAAAATGGAGAAAATTGTGCTATTTGTAAGGAAGTTACGGAAACGACTAAAATGCTATTATATATATAGCGTTGATAAGCCAAATCGGACATTCTCTGAGAAATATGTAAAATGCTCTCAGACTTTAATTTTTCTCAAGTAAATTGTCAAACTCATTAATATAGCGAGGTGTTATTGAATGAAATCAAATTATACCGGTTATCAATGGAAGATATCAAGTTAAATAAATTTTATGTAACAAAATAATGTATTTGTTCAATCATTAGAAGTGGCCATCAACAAAAATCGCCCATCTCCTAATCGTGCAAACTAATGTAGTAAAAATAATATTGCTGTCGATTCACATTTGCATCCCTGTGATTTCCATATAGCAGGCAAATTAAGAAACAGATTTTATAATAAATGTCCGGTGAGGCTTGACGACTTGAAAGTAAGCTGCATATATATATATATATATATATATATATATATATATGCGTGTGTGTGTGTGTGTATATACATATATATTTCTTTTTTTTTTTTGATCGATCGATTTGTGACATTATTTTTATTAAATTAAATTAACTGATTTTTATTAAATATAGCGCTCATTTGTTACAACGATATAACTCAAAAGACAAAGTTTTTCAGAAATTAAATTTCAATGTTTTCAATTATTAAAATTTTGTGATATTAATTTTGAAATGCAATTCATCATTTTGATGTAATAACTGATTAGAGGAAAATGTTTTCTCCTTCTTCTTCTTTAGGTTTCCGTTTTTCTTTTTCTAGCAAACAATTAAAAAATGACAATTTTTGAGTTAAGTCGTTGTAGCAAACGAACGATATATTAGGAATGTAAAAATGGAAATTGCTTGAAAATCAAGACATTATATAGAAATTATTTAATATTGAATATTAAAAATTTTTTAGCAAATTCTGCTCATGAAGGATGTAAAAAATAACAGAATTTTAACACAAATTTTTTTTAACAAGGCTTATTTTCGTCAATATAATATTAAATAATGAAAAGACGAATAATATATAGTTTTTACGTGAAGCATTTGCTACAGAAAGATTAACTTTTTATTTTACATTATTTTCTGTCGCATTTGTTATAAATTTCTAGAAGATGTTAGACAATTCTTTTAGTCATCCACTTTGTACACTTTGCACCAATCGTTTTTTCCCATATACTTAGTTCTCGTATGCAGCATTTTATTCGCATTCAGGTAAATTTCTGCGAGAAAAGATCAAAGGCCAAAATACTGTTCCTGGAAAGATGTTGACCCTAGCTTGTTTGTTAAAATCAGCTTCGAATATTCGAAAAGGGTTGACGATTGGGCATTAGATGTTGCAGTTCCTGTTACTGTTAAAAATTACAAGAATGTTAAAAGAGCGCGGCTGTCGTGTATGTATATATACAATTGCTAGAAAAGTCGATAGAAAGGACTTGAGCTTTGCGACCTTCTTATTTTTTTCAGACAATTACAAATCCGAAATAAAGTCAATGACATATTTTGACATTGATTTAAATAATTTAATTGTACCGTTGTGATTGCGTTTTTTTTATATCATTTTATGGTCGTATTATGTTTAATTTGCGAGTCGTTTCGGCAATGAAATTTTTCTAAGAACTATAAAATCCAAGAGCACAATGGCTGATAAATGAAAGAAAAGAGTACAAGACTCTATCAAATAGTATCAAGGTTACTAGTTAAAAATTTGGTAAAAGTCAAAATAATCGCTTTGACTTCTCGAGTGTTAAGACAAGTTGATTACGTCCGTTGTTAAACATATATATATATATATATATATATATATATTATACA